AGAAAGTATTTGATGCTAATGTGCATGAGAAAACTCTTTTGTTGCTAAAAACATTTCTGTTTCTTTACAGAACAAATTTCAAGGAATGGTCTTTGACTTTGTAACCAGACAAGTTTTTGACATAAGCATCATGATTCTCATCTGTCTTAACATGGTCACAATGATGGTGGAAACAGATGACCAGAGTGAATATGTGACTACCATTTTGTCACGAATCAATCTAGTGTTCATTGTGCTGTTTACTGGAGAGTGTGTACTGAAACTCATTTCCCTACGCCATTATTATTTTACCATTGGTTGGAATATTTTTGATTTTGTGGTTGTCATTCTCTCCATTGTAGGTAAGAAACATTTAAAGTTGTTAAATTTAGTTTAATATAAGTGAAATAATCAAAATTAGAATCAAGGTCATGCCAGCAATCAAAGATAATCATTGTAAATATTTTGATATATTTTATCCAGGTGTGTTTGGTTTTTTAACAAAATGTCTCCTGCTATATGTCAGTATTGTTTCTTATTCTATCTATTTTATACATAAACAATATACTTAGTGTGAATGTAGTAAAACATCATTCATTTGAACTAGAACTGCTAATTAAATAAGATAAAAATGTTTTTAACATGTTGAGATTGAAGAACCCATACAGTATCTGATGGTTCTGTTAACAAGACTAGAAATTAGGCTGGTACAGGAAAAATATTGCTTTAGAGAATAGACATGGAGTCACCAGCATATTAGAATATTAGTTGAAAGCGGCTGCAAGATAAGGAAAAGTATTGAGTAGAAAGAGATTAAAGATGAGGACTAAACGTTAGCAAATGCATATAGTAGGTTCTTTATGAGTATCATATAGAGATTTTATAGACAACCTTAAAAATGGGTTTATAATAATAATGCACAAGGGAAATAAAGTAGCTTGGGACATCATCAGTACTATACTTCAAAGCCTGGAACATATGACTAGCCTCATGAGCGATAACTCATTTCATTGGAAACAACTAAAGCTCTAGTAAAGTGAAAAGCATCCTTCTGTTGGCCTAAAATATTCATTCTTCCCTAAATAGGATGATATAACTGGGTCAACATTTTACTCTCCAAAACAAGGTGCCTCTGACAGATTTTCATGCCACTCTTTCTCTGAAGAAATTGGCCTTTTATCCAACTCATATGTTGTATATAGCCTTTGATTCCCGCTAATTATAATCCTTGGTTATAATTAGTGTGGCTAAGGTATAAGAGTTGTATTCTCACATATCTCCTTCTCTCTCTGTTACACACACACACTCTGTCTTACACTTAGTCTTTTCAGAATGAGGCATTTAAACTTGAAGGCATTTAGTTTCTTGAACTCTTCTCTTTATCTTTACAAGTACGGTTTTTATCTAAAAAGCAAATGGAGATAGAAGCTTAAAAGAGGAAGATTGAGATTACAGTGTCAGGTACAGGAAACCAAAAACAATTGAGGTACAGCATTAGCTACAGGAGACTAAAAACAGCATCAACCTGAGATCCTTTTAGAAATGCACCAGAACATACATAAATAAGTATATAAAAATATTAGAGTGGAAGTTAAGTAAGTATCAAGATGATGGAGAGATGAAAGTAGCATCAAAAACTTTCAGATGGAAAAAGAGTAAATAGAGAATTTAGAATATGGCAATTTCAGAAAAAGTCACCGTATACGTATAAACTTGTACTTATACTGTTAGGCCACTGCTGTTCAGCCAGACATGCTTTTTTAACTTATTTTCTTTTTAAATTCTGACTTGGGACTTTATGTAAACTAAAAGTAGTTTATAAACATCCCTTAAAGATAAAAAAAAAAAAGTACTGTAATCCTTAAAGTTGAAATTATGGCTGAAATTCAAAATTAAGATTTATTTATAATATATATTACATTCAATTATATATACATCATATGACTCATATTTAGGATCATATAACTGGGTTCAGGACTCTGAACTTCACCTCGGAACTTTGGAAGAAATATGTTTATTTTAATGCATAATTTCTTCATTGGTTGGTATTCTCATTGTTTATTCATAGGTATGTTTCTTGCCGAGCTGATAGAAAAGTATTTTGTGTCTCCTACCCTGTTCCGAGTGATCCGTCTTGCCAGGATTGGCCGAATCCTGCGTCTGATCAAAGGAGCAAAGGGGATCCGCACGCTGCTCTTTGCTTTGATGATGTCCCTTCCCGCGTTGTTTAACATCGGCCTCCTGCTCTTCCTGGTCATGTTCATCTACGCCATCTTTGGAATGTCCAACTTTGCCTATGTTAAGAGGGAAGTTGGAATCGATGACATGTTCAACTTTGAGACCTTTGGCAACAGCATGATCTGCTTGTTCCAAATTACAACCTCTGCTGGCTGGGATGGATTGCTAGCCCCTATTCTCAACAGCAAACCACCCGACTGTGACCCTAATAAAGCTAACCCTGGAAGCTCTGTTAAGGGAGACTGTGGAAATCCATCTGTTGGAATTTTCTTTTTCGTCAGTTACATCATCATATCCTTCCTGGTTGTGGTGAACATGTATATCGCAGTCATCCTGGAGAACTTCAGTGTTGCTACTGAAGAAAGTGCAGAGCCCCTGAGTGAGGATGACTTTGAGATGTTCTATGAGGTTTGGGAGAAGTTTGATCCCGATGCGACCCAGTTCATGGAATTTGAAAAATTATCTCAGTTTGCAGCTGCACTTGAACCTCCTCTCAATCTGCCACAACCAAACAAACTCCAGCTCATTGCCATGGATTTGCCCATGGTAAGTGGTGACCGGATTCACTGTCTTGATATCTTATTTGCTTTTACAAAGCGGGTTCTAGGAGAGAGTGGAGAGATGGATGCTCTCCGAATACAGATGGAAGAGCGATTCATGGCTTCCAATCCTTCCAAGGCCTCCTATCAGCCAATCACTACTACTTTAAAACGAAAACAAGAGGAAGTATCTGCTGTTATTATTCAGCGTGCTTACAGGCGCCACCTTTTAAAGCGAACTGTAAAACAAGCATCCTTTACATACAATAAAAACAAAATCAAAGGTGGGGCTAATCTTCTTATAAAAGAAGACATGATAATTGACAGAATAAATGAAAACTCTATTACAGAAAAAACTGATCTGACCATGTCCACTGCTGCTTGTCCACCCTCCTATGACCGGGTGACAAAACCAATCGTGGAAAAACATGAGCAAGAAGGCAAAGATGAAAAAGCCAAAGGGAAATAAATGAAAACAAATAAAAATAATTGGGTGACAAATTGTTTACAGCCTGTGAAGGTGATGTATTTTTATCAACAGGACTCCTTTAGGAGGTCAATGCCAAACTGACTGTTTTTACAAAAATCTACTTAAGGTCAGTGCCTACAATAAGACAGTGACCCCTTGTCAGCAACTTTGACTGTGTAAAGGGGAGATGACCTTGACAGGAGGTTACTGTTCTCACTACCAGCTGACACTGCTGAAGTTAAGAGACACAATGGCTAGTCAGACTGTAGGGACCAGTTTCAAGGGGTACAAACCTATAATTTTGGGATTGTTTAACATGAAACACTTTAGTGTAGTAATTGTATCCACTGTTTGCATTTCAACTGCCACATTTGTCACATTTTTACAGAATCTGTTAGTGGATTCATCTTTTTGTTAATCCATGTGTTTCTTATATGTGACTATTTTTGTAAACAAGGTTTCTGTTGAGAAATAGACTAAAGGACCTCTATAACAGGTATGCCACCTGGGAGGTATGGCAACCACATGGCCCTCCCAGCTACACAAAGTCGTGGTTTGCATGAGGGCATGCTGCACTTAGAGATCATGCATGAGAAAAAGTCACAAGAAAAACGAGTTCTTAAATTTCACCATATTTCTGGGAGAGGTAATTGGGTGATAAGTGGAGGTGCTTCGCTGATCTTGTTTTGCAAAATCTAGCCCCTAGACCAGGTAGATTGTTTGTGGGTAGGCCAGTAAATTTTAGTAGGTGAAAACTTCGTCCAAATGTCTGGAGTCACAAATTTTATGGGTTTTGTTTTTGTCATGTTAAAAAAAAAACTGAATAGTGAATATTGCCCCTCACCGTCCACCCCCAGAATACTGAATTGATTAAAATAACTCTTTATAAATTTCTGCTTTATCCTGCACTTTGTTTAGCCATCTTCGGCTCTCAGCAAGGTTGACACTGTGTATGTTAATGAAATGCTATTTATTATGTAAATAGTCATTTTACCCTGTGGTGCACGTTTGAGCAAACAAATAATGACCTAAGCACAGTATTTATTGCATCAAATATGTACCACAAGAAATGTAGAGTGCAAGCTTTACACAGGTAATATAATGTATTCTGTACCATTTATAGGTAGTTTGGATGCTATCAATGCATGTTTATATTACCATGCTGCTGTATCTGGTTTCTCTCACTGCTCAGAATCTCATTTATGAGAAACCATATGTCAGTGGTAAAGTCAAGGAATTGTTCAACAGATCTCATTTATTTCAGTCATTAAGCAATAGTTTTCAGCACTTTAACAGCTTTTTGATTATTTTTAAATTTTAAGTGGATAACATATGGTGTATAGCCAGACTGTACAGACACATTTAAAAAAAAAACACACTGCTTAACCTGTTAAAAATGTGTTTAGAATTTTATAAGCAAATATAAATACTGTAAAAAAAGTCATTTTATTTTATTTTTCAGCATTATGTACATAAATATGAAGGGGAAATTATCTTCAGGTTGATATCACAATCACTTTTCTTACTTTCTGTCCATAGTACTTTTTCATGAAAGAAATTTGCTAAATAAGAAATGAAAACAGGACTGGATAGTTGTAGATTTCTGGTTTTTTAATTACATTTGCTAATTTTAGATTATTTCACAATTTTAAGGAGCAAAATAGGTTCACGACTCATGTCCAAAGTATGCTTTGCAATTGGAAAAGGGTTTAAAATTTTATTTATACTTCTGGTAGTACCTGTACTAGCTGAATTGAAAGTAGTACTTACTTTTATTTTTTTCCTTTTCTTCTAACTTCAGTTTATGTTTTCATTTCTTCGGAGTAATGCTGCTCTAGATTGTTCTAAATATAATGTGGGCTTCACAGTTTTGTTTTTTTTTTCCATGAGAACAGAGAGTAGTCAACTTATATAGTCAATTACATCAGAACATTTTGTGTTTCTTGCAGAAGCAAACCATAGGCTCCTCTTTTTCTTAAAACTACTTAGATAAACTGTATTTGTGAACTGCATGCTGGAAAATGCTACTATTACACTAAATAATGCTAACCAACATTTAAAATGTGCAAAACTAATAAAGATTACATTTTTTTATTTTATTGTTTGCCCAGTCACTTTTTGTTAACAGAATATTGTAATGACATGGAGATTTTTACATTACAAATTGAGGGAGAAGGGGAGCACCCACACACACACACACACAGGCATACCTGGGTTGACAAGAAAACCTAGGGTAAATATGTCACTGGGGGTAATGAGCTCCCAGAGTTACATGCAGCAGGTGTGTTCTATGTTAGGAGGAAGAATTGGTGTCAGTGGATAGCTGGTGACTCTAGGAGGAAGAGAAGTATGGGAGTCTAAGTGATGGTAGATGACCATTTGAGCTATGAAAAAAACTCTTAAGTCATCGTTTAAAAATTTAGAGTTGCCATGTGTGTGGGATACTGTGTTTACTCCTTCAGAGCCACTCCCCATGCTTCTCCATCATTCTGTGTGTCCCAGAAGGGTGACTTCTACACATTGCATCAATGGGCTCTCCTACCTCTAAGCTCCCAATTGGTTTGGCCAATGAGAAGCACTGGTGGGAAAGCACCACAGAGAGAAAATTGACATAGGAATATTTATTCTCCAATTCTTTCTTTTCTGGGTTGCCCTAGGTTGGCACTGGATTCATTCCTCCCCCCGAAAGTCATATTCCAGTCAGACTGCCCCTCATACAACTGGAGCTACTTTCTCTGGGGTCTTGTAATCACTCCTCCCCTTGCTCCTTCAGGTCTGCTGCTGCATTGAGAGTGCTTTCTCATTCCTTGTAGCTTTCTCCTAACATTGCCAACATCTTTGTTATGTCCCCTTCATGAAAATCTTCTCTATGACTCATTTCAGCATGTCCATCTGTCTCCTGCCTGGCTGATACAAAGTGATTCAATAGCTCATGAAAGTCAGCAGGAAGCAAAGATGTACCTTCCTTCAGCTTAGGGGCTTAATCTTGCTAACTCTAGCAGATGAAGAAAGACAGGGATAGGTGTGGTGGTTCATGCCTGGGAGGCCAAAGCGGGTGGATCACCTGAGGTCGGGAGCTCGAGACCAGCCTGACCAACATGGAGAAACCCCGTCTCTACTAAAAATAAAAAATTAGCTGGGTGTGGTGGTGCATGCCTGCAATCTCAGCTACTCAGGAGGCTGAGGCATGAGAACTGCTTGAACCCAGGAGGCAGAGGTTGTGGTGAGCTGAGATTGCGCTACCGTGCTCCAGCCTGGGCTACAAGAGTGAAACTGCATCTTAAAAAAAAAAAAAAAAAAAAAAAAAAAATCAAAGAAAGAAAGGAAGAAAAAAGAAAAGAAAAGAAAAACAGTAACTAGGGAATCACAATGAAGTCCAGTACAGATTTCACAGAGATCATGGAAAGGTTACTCAGGCGGTCCAAATAGTAATATTAACAATCTAAATAAATCTATCGAAATTTCTGAGGAATGAGAAGCCTTCCCTTGTCATCAAGTAAAGCCAGTAGAGGGAACGTAGCCTCAACCAGAAAAGGAACAGTCATGAGCAATGTTTTCCCCATTATTGTACAATGGACTGACTTTTCCTCTTCATAACATCACAATCCTAAAACGACACAACAATTAATTCTGATATATTAGTGGCTAAAAAAATTCCCATTTCTAACTAAGGTTGGTAAGAATTATAGGATAAATCCTACAGACTTTTTATACTACTCATCCATGCCATTACTCACTGTTACCTTTCCAAATACAAAGAGAAGCACTGGTAAAACATAATTATATAAATCCCCATATTCATTTTGACATATTTGGTATAACATTTGCTGTGCTAAAAAGTAATTATTCTCCCAAGAATGATGAGGTTATGTCAGTAAGACACAGGAACCAACTAGAAGAGGTTTCCCATTGGCCAAATCTGGGGCAAGTTGAGCATCAAAACAAATGACGTAAAATACTATAATTCATTGAATAAACCAAGAATCAACAAATACATACTAATGTAACTAAAGAAAAATAAAAATATGTTTCTTGCAGTTGAATGCTAAGTAACAATTGTAGAAGAAATAATAGAGTTAGAAAATCACTATTTGGCAATCATTCTAATGACAATTGATTCCTTCGTGAATCATCAATGAGTATTAAAACTCATGGGTGAAAGTTTGATGAGGAATAGGATATTTATGTCATCTCAAAGTATCTCTTCTCTATTAATTAAAAATTTTAAAAAGAAGAAAATATACTTTGGAGAAACACAGCAGACAATACCTTCAAAGAAGTTATCAATTATGAGACCAACTGACACTATGCCTCTTGATAAGATATACTGAAAGGGCCACATTACTTCCTGATATGCAGTCAGAAATTTAAAATCAGAATCTCACCAGAAGGAAAACTAAATTGAGGACATTCTATAAAATAACCGGACTGAACTCTAAAAATGTCAATGTCGTGAAAAACAAAGAAAAGCTAAAGAATTGCATGAGGTCAAAGAACTATGACAACTAAACACAAATCTGGATTGAATATCAAATAAAAAATAAGGGATAAATAATATTATTGGGAAATCTTAATAAATTTGAATATGGACTGTTTATTAGTTATTAGTATTATAACGGTGTTAATTTTCCTAACTTTGTTAAGACTAGTGTGCCTATTCCATGAAAGTAGAAAATGTTCTTGCTCTCTGAAAATGCATGCTAAAGCATTTGGGGGTGAATGTGACAATGTCTGCAGCTCATTCTTGAATCAGTTCAAAGAAAAATTAGTTACATTTATATAAACATATGTATGTATGTAAACAGGCAAAGATATAAATGTAGATGTGTGTGTGTCTTTAGAAATGGGAGGATTTTTTGCTGTGTGTTGTTGAAGTATGTTCACACTATCATATTTTGTATGTCCAGGACTTTATAATTTCTACCTTCAAAATTAGATCTACTGTTTGTAATTCATTCAATGTGTACTGGATTTTTAACTATTATTCTCATTTCCTAGCAATAACTTCCTGAAAATTCACAGAAATGATTACATTCCTTGTTCTTCGTAGTAATCACTGTTTGCTAAAAATAAGAATATTTTAGAAAAGATCTGTGGCCTAGTAGTTAATACCCCAGTATTTGATGCTAAACAGATCTAATTTGGAGAATTGTGATCTACACTCTGGTGATTCTGCCTATACAGTAAGAGAAGGTGGCACTTTGCTGTCTAAGCTGGGGACCAGACACTGTGGGTATAAATAATAATTCCACACACAGCTCCACAGAACAGCCCTCCCATGACAAGGTTTTCACATGTCTACAGTTAAGCCAGAAAATTAAGAATTAATGCCATAAATATTTATAAAGCTGAGCAAATCCCAGTTAAAGAGCTTTATCCTAAAATTGTGTCTTTTAGATTATTTTCTAAAGACTAATACCATTTAATGTTTAAATGTTCTTTTGAAATGATGGTGAGAATATATGATAATGGGTTATTTGTTTTAATATTTTATTTGGCCAAGTGAAAAATTGGCAACCTGGTGTCAGTCCTCCCATTTGTATTTTACTGGTGCATGAAATCCAAAAGCCTAGGAACCATTGGGATAGACAACTCTGCTGCATAAGTTTGTATGTTTGTATATCTGTATCACAAAGCCCGGACATTTGAACTATATAAACTTGTCATACTAAAGACAGCAAATATGTCTGGTAATTAAATATTCTTCATGTGTGCACTGGAATTTCTTATTATATAAGAAAATAAATGTGTTTCTAAATCACTATGAATTGGGTACAGCTGATAGTACTATTCTTCCTGGCACATGGAAATATTCCACTGAGGTCAATCAATATTGATTTAATCAGTGTAACAGCAAAGGCACTAGAGGAGGAAAATACTCCACACAATCAAGTATAGAGGGGAAAGTTGTATCACCAAGACATTCTTAAAATCACAACTGGATAAATTGCAATATCAATTGATTACTCAATGGCTCGAGTCCTTTATCATTCCCTTAGAACACTCCTCATATTTGCAGATAACTCAGCTCCTCACCTCAGCAAGAAATAAGAGGACATCATTATAAATTTCCACAACTTCTTTCCTAACCAGTGAAAAATATCTAAGTCCCTTTTCGCTTCCCTTTTCTTCCCTTCCATTGTCTTCCTTTTTCCTTCCTTTGTTTTTCTTACTTTACCTCCCCCTCCTACCTTTCCCTTTCTTCCTCCCTCCCTGTCTCCCTTCCTTCCTCTCCTTCCTTCCTTCCTTTCTTCTTTTCTTCCATCCGTCCTTTAATATCTTTTCAGAGATTAGTTTTTCCCTTTCATTCTATGTTCTCTGATACCCTCCTTCATGACTTGTCCTACTTCTCTTGCATCTTCATTCTTTCCCTCTTCACTGATCCTTTTGATCTGCCTTTGCATTTTCAAAATCAGTTTTTCTAATCTTGAAAAATATCTTGGCTCAACCCTGATGCATCTTTATTCACTGTGTCATTAGCTCATTATTTTTAAAGATTAGTTTCTAAAACTGGGGCTCTATACTCACCATCTCCATTCTAAAATTTAAAGAAATATAGGTCCCAGCGATATTTCTGAGAAAATTTGACTGTGAATAATCTTGTTGATATAAACACTTTGGGTTTTCGAAATGTTGTGCTAGCTGTTAACTCTCCCAATAAAATTATGAAGGAAGGGCTAGAAAATACAAAAGGTAGATATAGGAACCAAGAACATTACCTGTATGGAGCCAAGCTATACATACTCTGTCTCTGGTTATGATGAACACATCTCCTGTATTCAATGCTTGCTTAGAAATGTATAATATCCACAGAGCAATTCAGTTGTTAGCTGTGATGGGTTTTTTTGTTTGTTTTCTCCCCACAGAATTCAACTTTTATTTATGAGGATATGGAGACCAGAAAGTTCCTGAAATAAATTTGTAAAAGAAAACATTAATAATAAATTTATCATGAAAAAATATTGTTATAGAAAATTTAATTTTTCCTCTAAGTTATTATGAACTGACTACCCCTGTGTTAATTAAACTTGCCAGTACGCATGTATATATTTTGTTGGAAAACATTGAGATACAAGTCTTATTTTTCTTCTTCAAGCTGTTTGAAATAAATTGTGACTCAAACAGATTCAAATACCTGCTCAATGATGAATCTTATTCTTCCAGAGCACCTTCTCTCTCCTTCATGCTCTCAAACCTGACTCCTACTTCTGCCACTTTAAATTAGCTAAATTTGATCTCTTTTCAGTCTTCATCATATTTGGTAGATTTTATAGAATTTGATGGTGATGATATTCGCCTCATTTAAATTGCATTTTATTTATAAAACTAGAGTGTCCTAGGTGTCTTACTATATCTTTGATTCTTTGCCTTTACTCTCTTTCAATTGTTTTTCTCCTTTTGGATTTGTACTGCAGCATCAGCCTTTTTGCTAAGTTGGTGCTGAATCTCCACCTGTCTATTGGTCTTTTGTGCTTGCATATTCAGCTATCACCTTCAACTTGATATGTCCAAAATTAGTCCCTTCTCAGCTCACTGCAACTCCCCCCCTCCATCCCCCAGGTTCAAGTAATTCTCCTGCCTTGGCCTCCTGAGTAACTGGGATTACAGGTGCCTGCCACTGCACCCAGCTAATTGATCAGCTAAGTTTTGTGTTTTTAGTGGAAAAGGGATTCCACCATGTTGGCTGGTCTGGTCTGGAACTTCTGATCTCAAATAATCCACTTGCCTCGACCTCCCAAAGTGCTGGGATTACAGGCATGAGCCACCGCACCAAGCCTATAATGGGATAACTTCTGATCCATGTTTTAAAGAATAAGCAGGGTATTTTAGGTATTTATTTTATTTAAAGAATAACAGCCAGGACAGCAAAAATGTCAGACCAATGGACAAAAGCATAGGCTCTAGCATCAGACTGCCTGGATTCAAATGCCAGTTATAGTTATATTACATGCTCCTGAATGACCTTGAAAGTTTCTTAGCCTCTCATTGCCTCAATTTCATCATCTGTAGAAATGGTATTAATAATTCCTATGAGGACTAAATGAGTTAATGGAAGTAACGCTTTCAGATGAACATTTCCAGGCATATAATTACTGCATAAGTCTTTGTCCTAATGATGACAATCAAAGACACATATGAAAATAAGAAACACATGGACAGTTCAGAGCATTTTCAAGAGTTCACTAATGCCAAAGTGAAAAGTGAGCAATGACAGTGACTGAGAGACAGGCAGTGTCCAGATGATAAAGGGCCTTAAATGCAAGGTGGAGGCCTGGGTGATGAGGTGGAGGCCTGGGTGATGAAGACCCATTTAGAAATGTGTAAGAGACGCAAAAGTGGGTGTGGTGAGAACAGATTTTGACTTCAAGACGAAGGAAACATTCAATGGGAATTTTATAATTATTTTTTCTAATTCTGTGAAAAATGACATTGATCAAAAACCAGTAGATGTTGGTGAGGTACAGTGAAAAGGAAAATCTTATACACTGTTGGTGGGAAGACAGATAGTACAACCTCTATGGAAAACAGTTTGGAGATTTCTCAAAGCACTAAAAGAGATCTAATATTCAATCTAGCAATCCCACTACCAAAGGAAAATAAGTTATTATGTCAAAAAGACACCTGAATTTGCAGGTTTATCACAGCCCAGTTCACAATTGCAAAGAAATGGAATCTACATAAGTGTCCATAAATTGATGAGTAGGTAAAGAAAACCAGGGGTGCCAAAGGTAGAGAATGCGGTCATGGGTTCTCAGTTTCTATTTCTGCTTCAGCCGGTAAAGCGCCTTCCTCATCTCTCTTTTCCGCTGATCACTGGGGACAGATGCTAAAAGTCATGGCTTCAGGCTGCTAAAGCCTAAAACAAAACAAAACAGAACAACAACAATAAAATTAGGTGGGATAAGCTTGAATACTAAATAGTAGTATTTATAGTAGAATACTACTCAGCCATAAAAATGAGTGAAACTTCTTTTGCAGCAACTGGGATGGAACTGGAGATCATTATCCTAAATGAAGTAACTCAGGAATAGAAAACAAAATACCGCATGCTCCCTTATAAATAGGAGCTAAGCCATGGGTATGCAAACGCAGACAGAGTGGTATAGTAGACACTGGAGATTCGGAAGTAGGGAAGGGGAGAAGGAGATGAGGAATAAAAAGTCACCTATTGGGTGCAATGTGCACTATATATTACTACATCACTACACTAAAAGCTCAGACTTCACGACTATATATTTCATCCATGCAACAACAACAAAAAAACTTAAAGCTATGGAAATAATAAATTAATTAAATAAATAAGTGAATAAATAACAAGCAATTGCTGAAAACAAAAAGATAAAAGAAACAGAAATTAGGGCCAAAGTTTAGGAAGCTACTGGGAGAACACAAGCACTGATGAGACATAAGCCTTGAATATCTTCTTTCTGCCCAGTGTAACCAAGCCCAATCTTCATGATTCACAGACAGCTTCCTTGTTTCTTATTATTGGAAGAGAATTTTTTCTCCTACGAATCTTTGTAGGATTCAAAACTGTCAGCGTTGGATACTCACATCCAAACACTTTTGAGAGTAGGGGAGGACAATATTAATAATTGCGCTAAAACAGGCACAATCCAGGACTCTTGCAGGCACATCAGGACAGAGGGTTACTAATCCACCTTTACATGTAATTTGGAATGTAGGTTTCTTCCTTTCATCATCCTTACTTCTACTCTGCCACAGGAAAATATATACCATATGGTGCCTGACAGGCAGAAATAATCCTGTGTAGTGCTTGGCATACACACAATGATGAGTAAGTATTTAGCAAATGAGCAGTTGAATTAAATTTTAGGATTGCTTTAAATAGTTTTTTCTTTTTAAGTTTTTACCCCTCTAAAATCTTTTTTTTTTTTTTACTTATACAGAATATAAGAATTTTATGTATAAGATGCATAAGATATCACAAAACTTACAAATGAAAATTGACCTTGGCATATATTACAGTAATATTGGATATATATGACTCATACATGCATAAGAGTACATACCATATCTATTACCTATAAAGAAATAGACATAGATATAAGCGTGGGTCTAAGTATAGATAAGTTTATACACAAATATTTTTAAAAGATTGATTTTAAACTCTTTAGAACTTAAGGGTTATATAGTACTCACCTCATTTTTTGTTATGGTGGAATTATTGAGCTTGCCATTTTTAATTTATTTATTCTTATCTTCTAAAAGGAAGCAGGGTTTCTGGACCTTGTTTTCTCTTCAACATTACTTGGCCTGATTCCTATCTGCATTATTAATGTTCATCTTTCATCAGGGATGGTAAAGAAATGTCTTGTTCAGCAGTATTTCTTGCAGTCATGGAAAACAAAAATTTCTAAAGGCAAACAAATTGTGCCTTTGATCAGCCTCAGTCATAAGTGCAGTAATTTGCCCTACCTAAGGGAAATGTCTATTGAGTTATACTGATTGATAATCTGAGACCAGTGAAATGCTACAGTAACCATAAGACTGTGAATGTATAAATATGTAAGGAGGCAGATAACAGGATTTATGGGGAAAGGTTAAAGTACTTAGGAATATTTCTCTCAGAGAAGAGAATGAGGAATGACATTAATACAGCAAAGCATGTTCTATTTATTATATGTTATAATTTGCTAAAATAAAATTCATTAGGCATTAATAGTATTAAATTTAGTATGAAACCAATCGTGTATGTCTTAGAATTTTATGACATTCCGCTTTTACAGTAATGTAGACTTTTCTATAGCATGCATCTTAAAACTCTGCCAGCCTCCTCCACCCATTATGCAGTTCCAAAGCTGTTTCCACATTTTTAGGTATTTATTATACCAGCACTCCCACTTTTTGGTATCAGTTTCTGCCTTAGTTCATTCAGATTGCTACAACAAATGCCAGAGACTGGGTAGCTTTAAAATAACAGAAATTTATTTCTCACAGTTCTGCAGGCTGGAAGTACATGATCAAGGCCACAAAAGATTTGATGTCTTGTGAAGGCCTATTTCCCTGTTTGCAGACAATGGGCTTTGTACTAAGTCCGCACATAAGAGAAGGAGTGAAAGAGATCTTTGGGCAATTTAGGACACTAATCTTACTCATGAGGGCTCTGCCATCATACCTAATCACCTCCCTAAAATCTACCCTCAGATATCACCACATGGGAGGTTAGGATTTCAATATATTAATTCAGTGGAGATATAAACATTCAGTCTATAGAATATGGCAAATGCTATTAGCAGTAAACATTCAGTCTATAGCATATGGCAAATACCATTAACACGTTTGATGCTACTCAATTCTTTCTTATCACTTGAATTAATAAATAAAAACAAATTGTGAATAATTACAGTTAAAAGAATCTCATTCAGCAGTAGTTTTTTATTTTATTTTATTTATTTTTATTTTTTATTGCATTTTAGGTTTTGGGGTACATGTGAAGAACATGCAAGATTGTTGCATAGGTACACACATGGCAGTGTGATTTGCTGCCTTCCTCCCCATCACCTATATCTGGCATTTCTCCCCATGCTATCTCTCCCCAACTCCCCACCCCACACTGTCCCTCCCTGATTTCCCTCCAACAGACTCCAGTGTGTAGTGCTCCCCTCCCTGTGTCCATGTGTTCTCATTGTTCAACACCCACCTATGAGTGAGAACATGTGGCGTTTGATTTTCTGCTCTTGTGTCAGTTTGCTGAGAATGATGGTTTCCAGGTTCATCCATGTCCCTACAAAGGACACGAACTCATCGTTTTTGATGGCTGCATAATATTCCATGGTGTATATGTGCCACATTTTCCCTGTCCAGTCTATCATCGATGGGAATTTGGGTTGGTTTCAGGTCTTTGCTGTTGTAAACAGTGCTGCAATGAACATTCGTGTACACGTGTCCTTATAGTAGAACGATTTATAATCCTTTGGATATATACCCAGTAATGGAATTGCTGGGTCAAATGGAATTTCTATTTCTAGGTCCTTAAGGAATTGCCACACTGTCTTCCACAATGGTTGAACTAATTTACACTCCCACCAACAGTGTAAAAGTGTTCCTATTTCTCCACGTCCTCTCCAGCATCTGTTGTCTCCAGATTTTTTAATGATCGCCATTCTAACTGGTGTGAGATGGTATCTCAATGTAGTTTTGATTTGCATTTCTCTGATGACCAGTGATGATGAGCATTTTTTCATGTTTGTTGGTCTCATGTATGTCTTCTTTCGTAAATTGTCTGTTCATAATCTTTGCCCACTTTTGAATGGGCCTGTTTTTTTCTTCTAGATCTGTTTTAGTTCTTTATAAATTCTGGATATCAGTCCTTTATCAGATGGGTAGACTGCAAAATGTTTTCCCATTCTGTCGGTTTCTGATTCACTCTAATGACTGTTTCTTTTGCTGTGCAGAAGCTGTGGAGTTTGACTAGGACGCATTTGTCTATTTTGGCTTTTGTTGCCAATGCTTTTGGTGTTTTGGTCATGAAGTCCTTGCCTATGCCTATGTCCTGAATGGTTTTGCCCAGATTTTGTTCTAGGGTTTTTATGGTGTTAGGTCTTATGTTTAAGTCTTTAATCCATCTGGAGTTAATTTTAGTGTAAGTTGTCAGGAAGGGGTCCATTTTCTGCTTTCTGCACATGGCTAGCCAGTTTTCCCAACACCATTTATTAAATAGAGAATCCTTTCCCCATCACTTGTTTTTGTCAGATTTGTGAAAGATCAGATGGTTGTAGATGTGTGGTGGTGTCTCCAAGGCCTCTGTTCTGTTCCATTGGTCTATATCTCTGTTTTGGTACCAGTACCATGCTGTTTTCATTACTGTAGACTTGTAGTATAGTTTGAAGTCCAGTAGTGTGATGCCTCCCGCTTTGTTCTTTTTGCTTTGAATTGACTTGGCTATGTGGGCTCAGTCCTGTGAAGAAGGTCATTGGTAGATTGATGGGGATAGAGTTAAATTACTTTGGGCAGTATGGAAATTTTCACAATATTGATTCTTCCTAACCATGGGCATGGAATGTTTCTCAATATGTTTGTGTCCTCTCTTATTTCCTTGAGCAGTGGTTTGTAGTTCTCCTTGAAGAGGTGTTTTACATTCTTTGTTAGTTGTATTCCTAGGTATTTTATTCTCTTTGTAGCAATTGTGAATGGCAGTTCGTTCTTGATTTGGCTCTCTTTAAGTCTGTTATTGGTGTATAGGAATACTTGTGATTTTTACACATTGATTTTGTATCCTGAGACTTTGCTGAAGTTGGTTATCAGTTCAGGAGATTTTGGGCTGAGACAATTGGGTCTTCTAAATATACAATCATGTTGTCTGCAAATAGAGACAATTTGACTTCCTCCTTTCCTAATTGAATACCCTTTATTTCCTTTTCTTGCCTGATTGCTCTGGCTAGAACTTCCAATACTGTATTGAATAGGAGTGGTGAGAGAGGGCATCCTTTTCTAGCACCAGATTTCAAAGGGAATGCTTCCAATTTTTTGCTCATTCAGTATGATATTGGCTGTGTGTTTGTCATAAATAGCTTTTATTATTTTGAGATACATTCCATCAATACCTAGTTTATTGGGAGTTTTTAGCATAAAGGGCTGTTGAATTTTGTGAAAGGCCTTCTCTCCATCTATTGAGATAATCATGAGGTTTTTGTCTTTGGTTCTGTTTATGTGGTGAATTACGTTTATATACTTGCATGTGTTGAACCAGCCTTGCATCCCCAGGATGAAGCCTACTTGATCATGGTGGACAAACTTTTTGATGTGCTGTTGCAATCAGTTTGCCAGTATTTTATTGAAGATTTTTGCATCTATGTTCATCATGGATATTGGCCTGAAGTTTTCTTTTCTCATGGAGTCTCTGCCGGGTTTTGGTATCAGGATGATGTTGGTCTCATAAAATGATTTGGGAAGGATTCCCTCTTTATGTATTGTTTGGAATAGTTTCAGAAGGAATGATACCAGCTCCTCTTTGTATGTCTGGTAGAATTCGGCTGTGAACCCATCTGGACCTGGGCTTTTTTTGGGTGGTAGGCTATTAATTGCTGCTTCAACTTCTGCCCATGTTATTGGTCTATTCAGGGTTTCGACATCTTCCTGGCTTAGGCTTGGGAAGATGCAAGTGTCCAGGAATTTATCAATTTTTTCCAGGTTTACTAGTTTATGTGTATAGAGTTGTTTGTAATAATATCTAATGATGGTTTGTATTTTTGTGGAATCTGTGGTGATATCCCCTTTATCGTTTTTTGTTGCATCTATTTAATTATTCTCTCTTTTCTTTTTGGTTAATCTGGCTAGTGGTCTATTTTGTTGATCTTTTTGAAAAACCAGCTCCTGAATTTATTGATTTGTTGAAGGGTTTTTTGTGTCTCTATGTCCTTCAGTTCTGCTCTGATCTTAGCTATTTCTTGTCTTCTGCTAGGTTTTGAGTTTTTTTATCTTGCTCCTCTAGCTCTTTCACTTTTAACAATAGAGCCGATTTTAGATCTTTTCTTGCTTCTCATGTGGGCATTTATTGCTATATATTTTCCTCTGGACACTGCTTGAGGAGACAGTCTGGCCCTTATAGGAGCTCAAATGCTGTGCTAGGATCTTCGTTGTTCCATGCAGAGCTGCCAGGCAGGTACTTTTAAGTCTGCTGCAGCAGAACTCATAACCACCTCTTTTCTTAGGTGCTCCATCTTAGGAAGGTCGGCTTTATTTATAAGTTCCTGTCATGCTGCTGCCTTTTTTCATAGATGTCCTGTCCTGCAGGGAATAGTCTAGTCACGGTCTGTCAGCAGAGGTGTTGCTGAGCTGCAGGCTCTGCCCAGCTGCTGTGTGAACTGCCTTGGTAGTGGCGGACTGCCTCGGTAGTGGTGGTCGCCCTTCCCCCCAGTGAGCTGGACCATCCTGGGTCCCGCTGCACTTGCTGTGAAACCCTCAATCCACAGCGTTTCAAATTGCTTCTTTTGTGGGGGTGGTACCCGCTGAGGCAGATCACCTGGCCCCCTGTCTTTGCCTCTTCCCTTTCAGTTGAATGGGCTCTGTCTCCCAGGCATTCCAAGTGCCAGTTGAAATGGCCGCCCAGATTTGTGTGAGTTTCTGTGCACCAACGCAGCACTGGCTGAAACTGCCATGCTGAGAACTCATGGCCCTTTTCAGCCCAGGAATCTCCTGGTCTGTTGGCAGTGAAAATTTGTTTGGAAACACTGTGGGCACTCACCCTCTGCATTGTTCTTGCCAGGAACTGCATTTCAGAGCTGTTCCTATTTGGCCATCTTGGATCCTCCCCCCTATATTTTTAAATTTTAACTAAAGCAGTGGCTTCCAAAGTGTGGTCCCCAGACCAACAGCAACAGCACCATATGGGAACTTGCTAAAAATTTATATTTTTGTCTCCTTCCCAGTGTCTTCACTGAATTAGAGCCTCCACGGGTGGAGGTCCAGCAGCCTGTGTTTTAAGGAGCCTTTCAAGTGATTTTTTAAAAAATTTCAAATCATCTTTATTATTTTATTGAATTTTTAACTTGACATATAAAATTATGTGTATTCACCATGTGCAACATACTGTTTTCAAGTATATATACATTGTGGAATTAATAAATCTACCTAATTAACATATGCAATACCTCACATAATTTTC